TCAGAACCTCCTCCTGGTTCTGGATAACTGACCCGCTCAGAACCTCCTCCTGGTTCTGGATAACTGACCCGCTCAGAACCTCCTCCTGGTTCTGGATCACTGACCCGCTCAGAACCTCCTCCTGGTTCTGGATAACTGACCCGCTCAGAACCTCCTCCTGGTTCTGGATAACTGACCCGCTCAGAACCTCCTCCTGGTTCTGGATAACTGACCCGCTCAGAACCTCCTCCTGGTTCTGGATCACGGACCCGCTCAGAACCTCCTCCTGGTTCTGGATAACTGACCCGCTCAGAACCTCCTCCTGGTTCTGGATAACTGACCCGCTCAGAACCTCCTCCTGGTTCTGGATCACTGACCCGCTCAGAACCTCCTCCTGGTTCTGGATAACTGACCCGCTCAGAACCTCCTCCTGGTTCTGGATCACTGACCCGCTCAGAACCTCCTGCTGGTTCTGGATCACTGACCCGCTCAGAACCTCCTCCTGGTTCTGGATCACTGACCCGCTCAGAACCTCCTCCTGGTTCTGTCGGGTTTGGGTCGGAGTTCAGTTCCTCCTGAAATTGGAGGATTAAACCTGAGATCAGAGCGGCTCTCATTACCCACAATGCACCTGGTCTCTGCCGCGGCTCGCTGGTGGCGCCGCACAGGGGGATTCTGGGAGATAGGAGGCGGATTACCCGTCTCTGTGTTTCCCATCACTCTCTGATGCAGAGCTGATCCGTCTGCGCACACCTGGGTGGTTGTCATGGTGACTCAGGCTGGGTATTGGCGGTGAGGGGGCGGGGCTTCCATCAGCATGTGTGATGTGGTTAAATGTGTGTGTGAGCAGGTGAAGTGCTGTAAGTACTGGCCTGATGACACCGAGATCTACGGCGACATGAAGGTGACGCTGATCGAGACCCAGCTGCTGTCGGAGTACGTGATCCGGACATTCGCAGTGGAGAAGGTGAGCGCCGCCAGGAGGAGGAGGAGGAGGAGGAGGACAGTCAGACCCTGACCTGTGCTCTGCTCCTCCAGAGGGGCGTGGCCGAGATCAGGGAGATCCGTCAGTTCCACTTCACCGGCTGGCCCGACCACGGCGTCCCGCTTCACGCCACCGGACTCCTGGGCTTCATCCGTTGTGTCAAGGCCAAGACTCCGCCCACCGCCGGCCCCACCGTGGTCCACTGCAGGTCTGCCCCCTCTGACCAGGGGTTGGTTGGATTCGCTGCCTTACCTGACCCAGGTGTGTGTTTGTTCTGCAGCGCGGGGGCGGGGCGGACGGGCTGCTTCATCGTCATCGACATCATGCTGGACATGGCGGACAGAGAAGGCGTGGTCGACATCTACAACTGTGTGAGAGAGCTGAGAGCGCGGCGGGTCAACATGGTCCAAACGGAGGTACGCACCGTCACACAGAACGCTACCGACAGCAGAACCAATCAGCAGACGGGAAACGACCCCGCCGTGACCCCGACCCTACGGCTGCTCCGCTTCTGATCTCTAAAGGTCCTGATGGAGACCAGCTGACAGGAAGTGACAGGAAGTGACAGCAGGACAAAGTCACGGCCTTCCTCTCACCATTAATGTCATCCCCCCTCTTTTGTGTCGACATCAATCACTCATGATGTGACATTTCAGCCGCCACCGCCGTGCCGTCAGTCACTCTGCCTCTCTCCACAGGAGCAGTACGTCTTCATACATGACGCCATCTTGGAGGCGTGTCTCTGCGGCAACACGGCCGTCCCAGCCAATCAGCTGCGCTCCGTTTACTATGAGATGAACCGACTGGACCCCCAGACCAACTCCTGCCAGATCAAAGAGGAGTTCAGGGTGAGGCGTGGTGCGGGGCGGGGCCGCCACTGTTAGCGTTAGCATAGTGCGCTAACAGCATTAAACATTAAAATATATATATATAAAACAAACTTAGATAGATCTATAGCGCATAGATCCTGCCACCATCACAGATCTATAGATCCCTTCCAGATGTTCTGTGTTCTCACTCCTCAGACCCTCAACATGGTGACGCCCACCCTGCGTGTTGAGGACTGCAGCATCGCCCTGTTGCCTAGAAACCACGAGAAGAACCGCTGCATGGACGTCCTGCCGCCGGACCGCTGCCTGCCCTTCCTCATCACCATCGACGGAGAGAGCTCCAACTACATCAACGCCGCGCTCATGGACGTACGTAGACTGTGAGACGTGGGCCGGGTCACGAGCCCAGCTCCCATGATCCTGAACCAGCGTTCAGGCCTCAGAGAGGATCCTGCTGGATCCGGCTCTGACTGGTTTAGATCTAGGTGTTGTTCCCGTCACTGCGCCACCTGGTGTCAGTGAGGCATGTCACTTCCTTTGGTCTAAACGACCATATTTGGTGTGCGTCTTGCAGAGCTACAAGCAGCCGTCGGCCTTCATCGTTACCCAGCATCCTTTGCCCAACACGGTGAAGGACTTCTGGCGCCTGGTCCTGGACTACCACTGCACCTCCATCGTGATGCTGAACGACGTGGACCCTGCTCAGGTCACTATTTCACGCCACATTAAATAACGATCAGGATAAAATAAAACATCATTTAGAAATAATTTGAGGTCTTTCTGGGCTCGTTCTAAGGTCTCTCTGAGGTCTTTCTGGGCTCGTTCTAAGGTCTCTCTGAGGTCCCTCTGAGGTCTTTCTGAGGTCTCTCTAATGTCTTTCTGAGGTCTATCTGGGGTCTTTCTAAGGTCTCTCTGAGATCTTCCTTAGGTCTATCTGAAGTCTCTGAGGTCTCTCTGAGGTCTTCCTGAGGTCTTTCTAATGTCTCTCTGAGATCTTCCTGAGGTCTCTCTGAGGTCATTCTAAGTTCTTTCTGATGTCTCTCTGAGGTCTTTCTGAGTTCTTTCTGATGTCTTTCTGAGGTCTCTCTGAGGTCTTTCTGAGTTCTTTCTGATGTCTTTCTGAGGTCTCTCTGAGGTCTTTCTGAGTTCTTTCTGAGTTCTTTCTGAGGTCTTTTTGAGGTCTTTATGAGGTCTATCTGAAGTCTCTGAGGTCTTTCTGAGGTCTATATGAGGTCTATCTGAAGTCTCTGAGGTCTTTATGAGGTATTTTTTAAATCTCTCTGAGGTCTTCCTGAGGTCTTTCTGGGGTCTTTCTAAGGTCTCTCTGAGATCTTCCCGAGGTCTCTCTGAGGTCTTTCTGAGTTCTTTCTGAGGTCTCTCTGAGTTCTTTTGGATGTCTTTTTGAGGTCTCTCTGAGGTCTTTCTGAGTTCTTTCTGAGGTCTTTTTGAAATCTCTCTGAGGTCTTCCTGAGGTCTTTCTGGGGTCTTTCTAAGGTCTCTCTGAGATCTTCCTGAGGTCTTTCTGAGGTCTCTCTTAGGTCTTTCTGAGGTCTTTCTGAGGTCTTTCTGAGTTCTTTCTGAGGTCTCTCTGAGGTCTTTCTGAGTTCTTCCTGAGGTCTTTCTGGGGTCTTTCTAAGGTCTCTCTGAGATCTTCCCGAGGTCTCTCTGAGGTCTTTCTGAGTTTTTTCTGATGTCTTTCTGAGGTCTCTCTGAGGTCTTTCTGAGTTCTTTCTGATGTCTTTCTGAGGTCTCTCTGAGGTCTTTCTGAGTTCTTTCTGAGGTCTCTCTGAGGTCTTTCTGAGTTCTTTCTGAGGTCTTTTTGAGGTCTTTATGAGGTCTATCTGAAGTCTCTGAGGTCTTTCTGAGGTCTATATGAGGTCTAACTGAAGTCTCTGAGGTCTTTATGAGGTATTTTTTAAATCTCTCTGAGGTCTTCCTGAGGTCTTTCTGGGGTCTTTCTAAGGTCTCTCTGAGATCTTCCCGAGGTCTCTCTGAGGTCTTTCTGAGTTCTTTCTGAGGTCTTTTTGAAATCTCTCTGAGGTCTTCCTGAGGTCTTTCTGGGGTCTTTCTAAGGTCTCTCTGAGATCTTCCTGAGGTCTTTCTGAGGTCTCTCTGAGGTCTTTCTGAGTTCTTTCTGAGGTCTCTCTGAGGTCTTTCTGAGTTCTTCCTGAGGTCTTTCTGGGGTCTTTCTAAGGTCTCTCTGAGATCTTCCCGAGGTCTCTCTGAGGTCTTTCTGAGTTCTTTCTGAGGTCTCTCTGAGTTCTTTTGGATGTCTTTTTGAGGTCTCTCTGAGGTCTTTCTGAGGTCTTTCTGAGGTCTCTGAGGTCTTTCTGAGGACTTTATGAGGTCTATCTGAAGTCTCTGAGGTCTCTCTGAGGTCTTTCTGAGTTCTTTCTGAGGTCTCTCTGAGGTCTTTCTGAGTTCTTCCTGAGGTCTTTCTGGGGTCTTTCTAAGGTCTCTCAGATCTTCCCGAGGTCTCTCTGAGGTCTTTCTGAGTTCTTTCTGAGGTCTCTCTGAGTTCTTTTGGATGTCTTTTTGAGGTCTCTCTGAGGTCTTTCTGAGGTCTTTCTGAGGTCTCTGAGGTCTTTCTGAGGACTTTATGAGGTCTATCTGAAGTCTCTGAGGTCTCTCTGAGGTCTTTCTGAGTTCTTTCTGAGGTCTCTCTGAGTTCTTTCTGAGGTCTCACTGAGGTCTTTCTGAGTTCTTTCTGAGGTCTCTCTGAGGTCTTTCTGAGTTCTTTCTGAGGTCTTTTTTGAGGTCTTTATGAGGTCTATCTGAAGTCTCTGAGGTCTTTCTCAGGTCTATATGAGGTCTATCTGAAGTCTCTGAGGTCTTTATGAGGTATTTTTTAAATCTCTCTGAGGTCTTCCTGAGGTCTTTCTGGGGTCTTTCTAAGGTCTCTCTGAGATCTTCCCGAGGTCTCTCTGAGGTCTTTCTGAGTTCTTTCTGAGGTCTCTCTGAGTTCTTTTGGATGTCTTTTTGAGGTCTCTCTGAGGTCTTTCTGAGTTCTTTCTGAGGTCTTTTTGAAATCTCTCTGAGGTCTTCCTGAGGTCTTTCTGGGGTCTTTCTAAGGTCTCTCTGAGATCTTCCTGAGGTCTTTCTGAGGTCTCTCTTAGGTCTTTCTGAGGTCTTTCTGAGGTCTTTCTGAGTTCTTTCTGAGGTCTCTCTGAGGTCTTTCTGAGTTCTTCCTGAGGTCTTTCTGGGGTCTTTCTAAGGTCTCTCTGAGATCTTCCCGAGGTCTCTCTGAGGTCTTTCTGAGTTTTTTCTGATGTCTTTCTGAGGTCTCTCTGAGGTCTTTCTGAGTTCTTTCTGATGTCTTTCTGAGGTCTCTCTGAGGTCTTTCTGAGTTCTTTCTGAGGTCTCTCTGAGGTCTTTCTGAGTTCTTTCTGAGGTCTCTCTGAGGTCTTTCTGAGTTCTTTCTGAGGTCTTTTTGAGGTCTTTATGAGGTCTATCTGAAGTCTCTGAGGTCTTTCTGAGGTCTATATGAGGTCTAACTGAAGTCTCTGAGGTCTTTATGAGGTATTTTTTAAATCTCTCTGAGGTCTTCCTGAGGTCTTTCTGGGGTCTTTCTAAGGTCTCTCTGAGATCTTCCCGAGGTCTCTCTGAGGTCTTTCTGAGTTCTTTCTGAGGTCTTTTTGAAATCTCTCTGAGGTCTTCCTGAGGTCTTTCTGGGGTCTTTCTAAGGTCTCTCTGAGATCTTCCTGAGGTCTTTCTGAGGTCTCTCTGAGGTCTTTCTGAGTTCTTTCTGAGGTCTCTCTGAGGTCTTTCTGAGTTCTTCCTGAGGTCTTTCTGGGGTCTTTCTAAGGTCTCTCTGAGATCTTCCCGAGGTCTCTCTGAGGTCTTTCTGAGTTCTTTCTGAGGTCTCTCTGAGTTCTTTTGGATGTCTTTTTGAGGTCTCTCTGAGGTCTTTCTGAGGTCTTTCTGAGGTCTCTGAGGTCTTTCTGAGGACTTTATGAGGTCTATCTGAAGTCTCTGAGGTCTCTCTGAGGTCTTTCTGAGTTCTTTCTGAGGTCTCTCTGAGGTCTTTCTGAGTTCTTCCTGAGGTCTTTCTGGGGTCTTTCTAAGGTCTCTCTGAGATCTTCCCGAGGTCTCTCTGAGGTCTTTCTGAGTTCTTTCTGAGGTCTCTCTGAGTTCTTTTGGATGTCTTTTTGAGGTCTCTCTGAGGTCTTTCTGAGGTCTTTCTGAGGTCTCTGAGGTCTTTCTGAGGACTTTATGAGGTCTATCTGAAGTCTCTGAGGTCTCTCTGAGGTCTTTCTGAGTTCTTTCTGAGGTCTCTCTGAGTTCTTTCTGAGTTCTTTCTGAGGTCTCACTGAGGTCTTTCTGAGTTCTTTCTGAGGTCTCTCTGAGGTCTTTCTGAGTTCTTTCTGAGGTCTTTTTGAGGTCTTTATGAGGTCTATCTGAAGTCTCTGAGGTCTTTCTCAGGTCTATATGAGGTCTATCTGAAGTCTCTGAGGTCTTTATGAGGTATTTTTTAAATCTCTCTGAGGTCTTCCTGAGGTCTTTCTGGGGTCTTTCTAAGGTCTCTCTGAGATCTTCCCGAGGTCTCTCTGAGGTCTTTCTGAGTTCTTTCTGAGGTCTCTCTGAGTTCTTTTGGATGTCTTTTTGAGGTCTCTCTGAGGTCTTTCTGAGTTCTTTCTGAGGTCTTTTTGAAATCTCTCTGAGGTCTTCCTGAGGTCTTTCTGGGGTCTTTCTAAGGTCTCTCTGAGATCTTCCTGAGGTCTTTCTGAGGTCTCTCTTAGGTCTTTCTTTGGTCTTTCTGAGGTCTTTCTGAGTTCTTTCTGAGGTCTCTCTGAGGTCTTTCTGAGTTCTTCCTGAGGTCTTTCTGGGGTCTTTCTAAGGTCTCTCTGAGATCTTCCCGAGGTCTCTCTGAGGTCTTTCTGAGTTTTTTCTGATGTCTTTCTGAGGTCTCTCTGAGGTCTTTCTGAGTTCTTTCTGATGTCTTTCTGAGGTCTCTCTGAGGTCTTTCTGAGTTCTTTCTGAGGTCTCTCTGAGGTCTTTCTGAGTTCTTTCTGAGGTCTCTGAGGTCTTTCTGAGTTCTTTCTGAGGTCTTTTTGAGGTCTTTATGAGGTCTATCTGAAGTCTCTGAGGTCTTTCTGAGGTCTATATGAGGTCTAACTGAAGTCTCTGAGGTCTTTATGAGGTATTTTTTAAATCTCTCTGAGGTCTTCCTGAGGTCTTTCTGGGGTCTTTCTAAGGTCTCTCTGAGATCTTCCCGAGGTCTCTCTGAGGTCTTTCTGAGTTCTTTCTGAGGTCTTTTTGAAATCTCTCTGAGGTCTTCCTGAGGTCTTTCTGGGGTCTTTCTAAGGTCTCTCTGAGATCTTCCTGAGGTCTTTCTGAGGTCTCTCTGAGGTCTTTCTGAGTTCTTTCTGAGGTCTCTCTGAGGTCTTTCTGAGTTCTTCCTGAGGTCTTTCTGGGGTCTTTCTAAGGTCTCTCTGAGATCTTCCCGAGGTCTCTCTGAGGTCTTTCTGAGTTCTTTCTGAGGTCTCTCTGAGTTCTTTTGGATGTCTTTTTGAGGTCTCTCTGAGGTCTTTCTGAGGTCTTTCTGAGGTCTCTGAGGTCTTTCTGAGGACTTTATGAGGTCTATCTGAAGTCTCTGAGGTCTCTCTGAGGTCTTTCTGAGTTCTTTCTGAGGTCTCTCTGAGGTCTTTCTGAGTTCTTCCTGAGGTCTTTCTGGGGTCTTTCTAAGGTCTCTCTGAGATCTTCCCG